CGCCCTTATTGGAGGCAACAGCAATGTATCCCTTCTCAGTTGTGGCCACTGCGGAGAAATCGTTCTTGCTAGCGTACTGTTTCAGATCCGCATCTACCAGTTTGGCTCCTGCCAATCGAGGATCAATGCGGTACAGTGCGTTCTGCGAGACACCAATGAATGGCTGAGCGGAGGTCATCTGGGCGAATTTCTGCAAAACGTTGGTTAAATATATGGCGTCAAACGAATACGCGATGACAATGTAAACTTACGTTTTCTGGTGCAAATGTGGTCACCGGGATATCGTCATGCACCTTCCACTCATCAATGACCTTGCCGTACTCGAGATCCATACGGTACAGCGAGTGAGGGTCATCGCCATTCTGGAGGATCATGTTGCGGTCCTCAGCATGCAACATGACCTTCTTTGGGCTGAAAAGCTTTCCTTTAGGCGTCTCGACCTTAGAAATATTGGTCGAAAACTCAAGGTTGTTATCTGGTGTATGCCTGAAAACCCCAATCTTAGATCCACGGACAACAAATGATCGATCGTGCTTGTAGCCGACTGCCAGTTGAGAATTGACATTGCCATCATCGTCACGCGTAATGACATCCTCCTGCTCTTCGTCGGAATCGTAGTGCTCGCTGCGTTGGCCCTCGTCCTGCTCTTCCTCCTCTTCGTCCTCGGCCTCGGCCTCGGCCTCATCCTGTTCTTCGGTCTCGGGATCCTCCATTGTAAGATCCTGGAAGGCATCCAGCACGTACTCGCGATCATTCTCCTTGACCTTGGTCCATTTCATTTCGTTCAGCTGTTCCCAAAGAGCCTGCATTAGGCCCTCTTGAAACCTCTCTTCTGTGGCCTGATCCTTGAACCGGAGTAGCCATGAGTAAGCGGATCCATCTTGACCGTAATGATTGAAGATGAATGACAAGTATTCAAAATTGAAGACTGGATTGATGTCGGCAACAACCGCTTGACCAAGCCACTCCTTATCCTCGCCACTGATCTGCAACCAATACTGCCAGGTGCCAACTTCAGACACAGTGGCAATCACATCAGGATCCTGAAGGATGAAAGTCCCGCTGGGGAAGTCGAAAAGGTGCAATTCTGCCTTTTCCTTTGCGAGAATCTCCTTAGCCTCTGGCTGCGCTGCCGAGGGCGGGGCCACTGTACGTTCCTCTCCTTCTCCGACTGGGTTTATGAGGCCCTTGGACCGCGAATACTCGATATCACGAGCCATGGCAGCGGCGGACTCTCCGGCGGACGCTACCGAGTGTGCGCGTGATTTGACTGGCGAGGAAATTGGACTGGCGGCAGGGATTGTCTTCTCTTCCTTGAAGGAGAATTCCTGAAGCTCTTGCTCCGTTGCTCTCTGGGCGCTCTTCCTGTATTTCCTCTCGTACTGACACTGCCACGCTGCTAACTCAAAGGTGGAGACTTTGTCCGCTGGCACAGATAGGTCGCAGACAAACTCGAAAAGATCGCCGGCGTCGCCACTCAAATCGTTCCAAGCTAGTATTTTCGAACCCCCTTCGCGGGCTTCAACACGGAAGTGCAAGCCTTGGTCAAGCAGGAATACCTTTTCGTCCTTGTCTAGACGGTCGCTGGCGCCTTGTTCGTCCTCGTCATCGGCAAGCTCCTCCTCACCTTCCTCGTAGGCACGCTGAATGACGAGTTGGTACTGAAACTCCTGACCGGTGCGACGAATAGTAGCCGCGGCGTCCTTGAAGATGAGTTCCGAGTAGCCCTTTGGAGAAAGAGGGCGAACCAAATACAGCTGGCCTTGAGGGATATCGATAATGGATTCTTTAGAGGTGTCTCCAAATAGGAACTTGCTCACTGTGATGTCACCGAAGTCAGTTAGCTGAATGTCACGATGCGCAAGAAATGATCCCAAAATGGATATGAGGTAAAGTAAGGAGGGGTAGATGGCGGGGTAGAGTGAACGGAGTTGGTAGATGTTGAAAACAAGAGACAGATCTGAGAGAACTCACCATTACGGAGCATGAACATAGCTGGAGAGTTCAGAAGGCTGCTACCTCAAAAGGTGCAGCTGATTATTCCTTACTAGTACGTAGTGCTTAGAGGCACGCAGTCGGCAAGGAGATTAATGTTAGGGGGGGAAAACACAGGGGACAGATCGAAATCTGCAAAAAGAAAAAGAGTTTTTAGTAGAAGAGATCCAACATCACCAGTAAATGATGATGAAATTTCAGCAGCAGATCTCTTTTCCTGAGAACTAATTGTGTTGAACGACTGGCTTTTGTGATGCTCGTCCTTGCAAAAGGAAAATCACCACATGTTTTCTTTCTGTTGATCTGCCGTCATCGATCGGCTCCTGTGGCAACCAGTGTGGCGCAGTACTGTGGCTGTGCTATCAACTGGCAGATGAGACTAGCCGTATATGGAGTATGGTAGGCATAACTATTGGAATAAGGATCGGACATTTACCATTAACACGCATCATTGTTTGGATAGTTAGATCATTCAAACATTAGTGGTGTACATGGCATAACAGCACAGGATATATGCAGGGTTTAAGTTGCCTGTGCAAAAACACAGGTCACTCTTTGCCAGCTTCGCCAGCTTCTTCCGCAGCATCTTCTCCATCCGGCCCGGCTTCCACAGGTTCGGCACTCTCCCGTGGTGTTTGATCTTCAGACTGGTGGTCTGCTGATTTCAACTTGCCCCCTTTCCTTTGAGGAATTACTTGAATAAATGCTTTCCCCCAGTCACCCAGCTCCAGCCACCGAATCATAATCTCCACGACATGGTTCGTTGCCAGTACCTGACGGTGAGCCATCTGAATGTATTCTCCGATGGGTAGCTTGGCGGTCTTGATGCCCTTGGCTACTGCGGATTTATAGCAGATGCCCTTGTGGCGGTTCTTATCCACCAAACCTCCAATGATATATGTGCTGTAGGGCTTCAATTCTGTCAAGATGTTGGGACTGTCGCTGCTGAGGTACACAATCTCTCCGTCCTCAGGCTTCGCGTCCGCCTTATCAGCGAAAACGCCTGCCAGTTGGCCGCCTTTAGGTCCTTGCATCCACTCCTTTGCCATCTCGGCAGCTTCGGCGAAGTCCTCCTGCAAAAACCGAACGCCTTTCCAGTTCTCGTGGGTCTTTCCCAGCACCGTATCGAAGCGCTCCTTGAGCAACTTGTTGAATGATGAAACGACGAGGTGCGAGCGGAAGGGGGCCCTACTATTATCGGAGTAAGACCGCGTAAGCTGCGCACCGAGGGATACCCGTTCCTTGTCCAGCATCAAATCGTCGTAACTGCAGTCTAGCACGAGTGTGACTGGGAGCAGAGTTGACCGTTGGAACTTCTTTTGTGTAGGCTCGAATGTCTTTCGAGTTTCTTCTGTAGCCTCTGCGCCCTCTTGTTTCGCGTGTTCCAAAGCGGCTCGTCTTCGTTCCCTTTTTGCGACCAGCTTCTCTTTGCGTTTCACTTTCCGCTGTTCCCTCATTGCTTCCCAGTGCTCTTTTCGTTTGAGTTTCTTCAATTGATTCTTGGACAATGTGGGTGGTGCCTCTTTTCCGTGTGCTTCTTGTCCCTCTTCGTCTCCAGCTTGCTCTGCATCGTTCTCATTCCCATTGTTTGACGGTGAGGCATGGTTGTCGGCATCCGCACTCTCAGCGTCATCGTCGCGGACAGCTCCCACAGCGCCGGTCATGGCGGGCTCTGATTCCTCCTGCGCTTCGTCGTGGTTTAGTTTGGGGTATTTTCTAGGCCGCTCGTCATCCTCCATCTTCGATCAATCCAGGAAAGACAAAATACGAGTGATCGAAGCTCTGTCGTAGTGAGACTCAAAATAATCTATCGCGCTCTAATGTACTACACTTGAGGGGAAACCCAAAATCGGAAAAAGCCCTCTCGCAACCAATCACAGCACCCGTAGCCCTCATTACTCAATCCCGATCGCCCTCACGTGACCTACACTCCAACTTCATCCGCCAGCATCACCAGCCAATCCTCCATACGCTCGTTCTAAAGCTCTCCAATCCTAGTCGTCACAATGCCTCAGGATATGCCCCCATCGGGGGGCTATGCGCCTGTACAGTACAAGGCAAGTCCCCATTTGCAAATTCCCCCAGCGCAATAAACCCAATTCACCGATCGAACTAACCCAAACCACAGCGCAACCTCCCTGCCCGCGGCTTCCGGCCCATCTACTACCTCGTTGGAATGCACCTCTTCATGGCCTACGGCTACTACAAGCTCTTCTACGGTATCCGCGAACAGCACGAGCTCGCCCGCGAGAAGATCTGGTCCCGGCTGCACCTGGTCCCGCTGCTCCAGGCGGAGGAAGATCGAGACCAGGTCCGCAGACATTTTGCCGACAAGGCCCGTGAGAAGGAACTCCTGGGTACGGAGAGCAAGGTCTACAACTCTGATCGGTATGTGAAACCCATGGGATTGAAAGTGGTGTTGTGCATTTTCTCTGACCTTGTTTCTCTTGCGTCTGCCTTAGCTTCGTTCGTCCTACTTTCGTCTATACCCCTACCAAGGTCACTCAATAAATAAAATGATATTTGTTACGAGCTGTGGTGCCAGGCTCAGTCGTCTCTCTACTGCGCCAGATGCATGATTCTGGTGCCATTATACGATTCCGAGGGCATTGAGTGGTGCATTAAATGCCGCTTGTCTTAGCCGTGTTTCACGGGAGTCAGAGATGTCTGGGGAGTCTTCAAGAAAAATGTGCCCTGTAGATATATTGCCTCTGGGGAGTTTACCTAGTTTTGCAATGCATTTAGTTTCTTTTCGCCCTTACACGCTTGCCTTTGCGTCGAGTCCAACAGATGTGTCATGTCAGCCTGTGGCTGCTATGTGAAACTTTTAAGTCGAATAGAAAGCGATCGATTTAGCTCTATCATTTTGATGTCATTGAAAGGGTAATTATAGGAGAAAAATAAGTACAAGCAGGGATTACGAATCGAGCCTCCCATCCTCTAGTACTGTACAGGACGAGTAGTTCCGAACATGTAAGAAGAGAGCCAGTCGCTGGCGGACGGCTCTAACCAAACATGTCGGCAACACCACCCAAATCAGGTCCGTCATTGATGTCGACTTTGCTGATTTGTTGGCCTTCCATCTCGTTGCTCATATATCTCTCTTGCAAGGCACTCCGTGCCTTGCGGCGTTCTTCCCGGGAGCCCAAGATCTTGCCTTGCTCGGCAATACTCACGCCCCTGAGGCCTTCAAGAAGGTCTAGCACGAGCGCACGTTGCTGCCGCGCTGCCGTTGATCGTAGAAGCGCGGCTTCCGTACTTGCCACCCGTTGTTCATCCATTCCAGGAAGGCTGAGGATCACCGAGCGTGGTGTTGGGCTACTCGAGCCATAGAGAACCCAAATTGAGGCGATCAGCTGGGCTAAGTCTTTCTGCATGTCAACAAAGTAAGGCTCATGCACGGATGTAATGCAGGCCTTGAGAACCTCCGAGGAAATGAACTCGCGGATCGTGACTATAGTTGGGCTGTGATTTGGAGGCGCGAAGTCCTGCAAGATCGATCGAATAACACGAGTGATGATGCTACAGCATCTCGTATCCCGCATGCGAAGCGCATGTGTACAGAAGAGCATGACAGGTTCGAATATTTCCGGCGAAGAAAGAACAAAGTGCCGAATCGAGTCGGAAAGTGCTGGAGGTGGCTGCGGCGCGCTAGGCTCAGCTGGCTCCTCGTCCGGATCTACAATGGATGTCAGTCTTATGTCCTGCAACAAATTGTCATGATGTCAGATCACGCACCGCCTCTCTGCGGATCCAAAAGACTTGCTACCATGAGCACCGCAGAATAAGTCAGCTGGCGAAGGATACTTTCTGACTTCATTTCGTCAGTCAAATCCCCGTCCGCAAGTCCCTCTTTGCGTTGCTCGATAAGGTCCCATTCCGCTGTGACTTTCCTGTCAATGTTGGTAAAGAGCGTTGCCAACATAGGAGGAAGGAACTGTGCTCGGAAACGGACAGGGCAATCGTCGATCAAGCACCTGGAAATATTGAGGAGAACAGAGAATTGGTGTGAGGATAAATGGGGTGAGTCCTTAAAGAGAGCTTGCGAGAGAGGTCCTGGAAGTTCTGCAAACCCATAGAAATGCTCTCTCAGTCTGCTCATGCTGAACAGCATTGAGTAGCAGGATTCCCGGACAGCCCGAACCTTACCTCGAACGGAGGAAGCGAACCCTTCGAGCGAAGACCGCGATGCAGTGATCTTCGCATAGAACTCGTCGCGGCTGCCAGTAGATATGCCTGCCTGCCAGAACCGGTCGGTCAGAATACGTTCGACGACCCCTCGCATATCATCAGGCAGGCCACCCCAGTTCGCCGGATTGTGGAAGGCATGAGCATTACTGCCGAAAATATGTCAGCTAAGCAACTCTAACGGCACGGTGTACTTGCCTGACAAGCTGTAACAATACCGGCAAGATGATGGGAATGATGTCGTGCCAGATATTGCACGCAAAATCATAAGCAAGATCGGTCTTCTTCAATTTCTCCGTAGAGACTGCGAGCATGGTCTTGGTTCCCCTCAGAGGCAGTTGCTGGAGTGCGAGTTAGTGTCAAAGTTGGGTCCTGAATGTGGGCATAGACTCAGTACCTGAAACTTTCTCGTCATAGTTTCCTGAATCTGCTTCCCCTCATTATCCAGCGGGACTGCGGACCAGTCTTCCAGCTTCTGCGCTTGGTTCTTTCGCATATAGGGCCCAACATTTTGCAGCCCAAGCATGTCACAGAAGCCCTCAAACGAGGAGCTTGTGCTCCGAAATTCTTCTTCTTGCCAGGCCTGCCTGATAGGTTCCAGAAAGGACTTCAGCCGGGTTTCACGCAGATATGGATCGACGTTGTTGGCACGTTGCCTAACTAGTTAGTCCAGAGCTACAGGGACGAAAGGACGATTCGAGGTGTCCATACATGATAATCAGGAGGATTGAGGTATGCTCCATGTGGAGTTTGTCGTCCACCCGGTTGGCCATGGTGATTTCCTTGATTTTCGGCTCCAGCAGATCGTAGAATGTCTTCCAATTTCTTGTTAGGAAATACGTATCCCAAAGGCGCTGAAATACAACTCACAGAGAAATAGTCAGCATAGCGCATAGCCAGACGTCGGAGTTCATGGCTGGCCAGACCATGTAGTTCCTTCACAGCTTCCGAGTAAGCCGGGTATTCAACCAAGTCAGGAAGACGAGTCATGAGAATATGCTCAAGGACTTTAAGTGAAAAGCTGGGATTCTTGTCAAGAGCCCTCGATGAGATGTCAACGATAAGCTTGATGATACGCTGTTTCAAAATAGGGTCCTTCAATAAGAGTTAGTCAAGTAGTCAAGGATGAAGCACAAGATAGAGGCGAACCTCGTAGTTCCTCTGCATCAGACTCAAAGCCCATGTCTCAAGCGCGCTTTCCAAGTCTATTCGTTTCTGCTCCTGTGCATTGTGTTAGAACCGCAAAAGTGCCGACATTGCAAGTAACATACGTCCTGTTGAGGCATTTTGCCATGAGCTGAAACCCATTTGTTATAACCCTTGAGTGTAGCTTCCACAACAGCGAATTGAGTGTCGGCGCGCATCAACGGAAGAGAGTTCTTGGAGAACGTTTTCACTGACGTCTAAGTTAGCATAGGCACTCACCGGCAGAAACCGCCACAACTCACCGTCAAATGGCTCAACCCCATTGTAGAGATTGTCCAAGTTTGCATCAACGCCCGCGAGAATATGAGGAATAGCATCTTGTGGTCTTTTCTGAACAATAGTCTCGATGATCGACGAGCAATATCTTCTGTAGTTTCCAACAAAAGCATGCCGTTCTGGGACTGTATCAATGTCTTCATTCAGAAAGACTACTGTAGGATTATCAGAGTCCGCCGGTAGTGATTCCCAGCGGATCAGTCGTTCAGTACATATGCTAAGCAAAGGGGGAATCAACCCAGTTACCAGATCGGTGTTCCCGATCCTCTCGGAGGCAAGTAGTTTGCACCATACGTGAAGGACAGGTATCGACACGGTCAAGCTTTGGTTCTGAATGACGCTGATCAGGAGGTGGAAAAAGAAAGTGAGGTTCATGCCATGTGCGGTCTCAAAAGAGAAGCCCTTCTCCTCAAGGAACCCCGCAAGGTACGAGAGCATCTACCGCGCAGATTAGCACGAGATCATGGCAGCCATCTGGGTCGAGAAGCTCTTACCTCGGATAGTTTCTTCGAAATCGTGTACCTAGTATCATCGATGTCGTCGGGTTCAACGACGGACCACTCGTACAATTTCTGTAAAAGAGTCAAGTACTCTGTTTCGTACATCAAGTGCACAAGAGGCTGGAAGTCTTCGATTTCGAAATTCGACCTGCTATAAAGAGCATGCAGTGCTTCGACGGCAGCCTGGATAAATAGTTCAGCATCGCTCGTGTAGTGCTGCTGGGAAAAGGTCGAGGTGTCCTTACCAACAACACCTGCTCATCGCTGCAGGTAAGAGACCTTGCGATACTCGAGACACAATTTGCGGATATGATGGCCTTGGGAATTGCCCAGACCAAGATGGACTTCAATGTTGCAAGAGCTTTGAGCGCTGCGTCTCTGGCCTGCGTGGAAGCTCGCAGGTTCTCAACACAGTAGATAAGGAACTCGCATGTCCTTGCGAGCCAGCCCTCGGTCCCACACCGAAGCTCAACATGGTGCTCGCGCTTTGGATAGATTTCCTCAAAAACTGACAGCGGTGTGCATATCTCCACTAGGGCTCTGTTAAGATCTGTTCCTCGCAAGGATGAGACAGTGTCTTCGCGGTAGAAGATGTCTTCTGACAATGTTTCCAGAATAGACAGAACAAGTTCTTTGTGTACAAGACTGGCTCCCCAAAACTGCACAAGAATCTCGTCCATTGCCAACCAGTCCAGGCCCCAGCTTCTCTTAGCAATCTCTGCCCATAACTGCGGGAGCTTGTTGCGGTAATAGGCCGGGTCCTCTGGCCGGATTGACTCAGCAAGCTTGAGAACAAAGTCTCTAAGGATAGCCACCTGATCTGCGGAGGTGAAAGACGTGTGACGCAGAACATGATCCAAGAGCGTTAAGCCAAAATAGCGGACCAAGGGAGTGTTTTCTACCTGTGAAGCCAGAAGGAACCCATTACGAGCAGCTAGCTTGCTTTCCTTTTGGGACTCCACAAAGGTCAGGGCTTGCCTGCGGAGCTCATTTGTCGACGAAGGGCTATGGATGAGCTCCAGTGCCCGAACGAGGTCAGCCATGCCGCCTTCTGAGAGCTCATCTTGGGCGGCCATTCCGTTCGACCTGTCCAGAGACCAATGGTGGTCACTATAAAATGATGGGCTCAGAAAAGGAAGGAAGGTCTCAGTGTCCCACTGGATTCTTTAAGCGCTCACTTCCAATTCAGGCTGCACTAACAATTCCTGCATCATTCACGCTTTCTGCGCAGTCTTCTCCTTTCTTTAGAATTGTTCCCGGAAAAAGAACAATAAACGAGTGGTTTTGATGTTGTTTGTATGGCGGGCAGAATGACCACGGCGATTCACCGATTCTGCCCTCCGCAGATGCCTGCCTAAAGACGAGTGAGATCTGCGTCTGCCTTTATTTCTCTCTCTTTCTCCAAGATCACGTGAGGAACGTAGTTACCCTCACACCTCGACGGTACCTCGAGGTCTTATCGTTTAACTTCGTATACCCTTATATTGTGCTTGAGGCGGGAGGGAGTTGTTGGATGGATTCCTTGGAGAAAGCGGGAAGACCCAAAATTGCCAAAGAAAGCTTCAGAAAAATTCCACGCGCTCCCGCTCCAATCACCACACCGACTCGGAGGGGGCCAGCTTCACAATCACACCGCTTACAACGACAGCTTGCTACTTTACAATATACGATTGACCGTCAGAAGCGTGTACTCAATGCTATCGTGACGCCTCGATGGCATTGACACGGTGGTTGATAATACAGCATACTGGGTTGTTACACGAAAATTTGTAGAATAATATACCTAGTGTACTATGGCCATGGGACTTGAGTGTAGTGATCTATAATCAAGGAATACAAAATGAAGCTGGATGCACTTCCTGAATAGGCAATCTAAATAATGTACAGGCGTACCAAATGAAACAAGAATTCATGGAGTGGTAGAAAACCAAGGGCTGTTTAACGAGGCAGATCCCCAGCAAACAAATACTTTCATGCCATAGCGAGCTTGCCTTTGAAAGCAAATTATCTATAGATGAAATGTAAGTCAGCCTAGTGACTAAAGGGTAGGGGTGATAAGATTGAGAACCACTGAATATGCTGACAGGATGACTGCCGGCTTGATTATATAACATCCTACTCAATAAACACGCTATTTTCATGAACTTCTAGCAGGGACGCCCCGCCTAGCGCTAGGGTAGTGATATGCAACCAATCTCATGTAGAAATCTCTGGCGAGAAGCTATTGGCTCGCTTTGTGACCTCAAGGTGCGGTGCGCAGATCTTAAGAGGATGAGGTGGGCGAGGTGTACACAAGTTCTCCACTGTTGTTGGCATTTTACTAGCGTAGGCGATACCATGATCTCAGAAGGTGTTGGGTTCACGGACATCAACGTGTGCCTGGATAGTAAGCCTAACATGCTGCGTGCGCAGGCCGAGCGATGAGACATGAACCAATCTCAAGGTTGCTGCAAAGGTGCAGCCCACTTCAGCACTCGACCAGTCTATGTCTATGAGGTCCCACATCTAAGCCAGCATAGATAAGTGCATAAGCCAAGCATATACAAATGCATGGATCCCACAATAGATGACTGCATGAAGTATGCATAGATTCGAGTACAAGGTCAAGGCATTGTTTGAGGCTGTACGCACAATGCCCCAGCTTCATGGTGTGCAACGCTTCGCTCCGAACAGGCCAATCCCTCAGTTAGGATTATATGGCTGGTCTTTGCTAGTCTCAGCGACCAGCGCGCGTTACCGTCAGGGTGTGCAATCGGCGGTCACATAGGTTCATAAGCAGTACATATTCACGGGACTAATGCGTCTGAGCTGCCATCACGCCAGCTGAATGTCCTCATGGTCCTTGTGGATGAAGCTGATTCCTGATTCCGAAGGCATCCTGATGGTGAATCGAGAAAGCACGAGTTGACTTAGCATGGAAACACACGTCCCAGTTGCCCCTGTGCATGTAAGGATTGATTGAGAGGTGTCAATGCAAGATGATTGAGTCGTGATTTGTAAACGGGCACAATGTATGCTCATATGCGGGAAGAAGAGGTCTTGATCTCATTCAACACAATTCATTCCGTGAGAGACGGTTCTTCTCGATTCCTCAAGGGGTCTCATCGCGTTTCATGACCTTCTCGCAAGCTTGACGAATCTCAGCCACCCCTTTAACGCCCTCCCACCTATCAAGCAGGTTCCGTATCTGCTCCCAATCATTGGTGGCCTCCTCCTCCTTGCCCTCGGACAGAAGCTTCTCTAGCCGACTTGATGCTCCAAGAACCCATTGTACCGTTTCCTTCTCTGCCTTCCCGCGGCCCGTTCCATCTGTAGCCTTGGCCTCTCGTATGCGCCGCTGCTGCTCTTCGCCTTCCTGTATCAGACTTGTGGCAGTTTCGGCCACAAACGCAATGGCCGGACCAAGAGTCTTCGTCATAGTCAGAGGAGCGCCACGCTCGTCCATACTTCGGCGCATCTTGCCAATGGTTTCCACAGCCCGGATCAGCTTCGAGTAGTTGTCATAGACAAGGGCCTTGCGTTCACTGTCAAGTGTTTTGATATCGCCAACAAGAGTATTTTCCGCCTTTAGCACAGTCGCCAATGACGAAGTAGCCAACAGATGAGTAACGTAACGTTGAGGGTCGAAGTCCGGACTATCCAATTCTGTTCCTGTAGCTACCACTGACGACGGACTGGACATGTCCCCGGCATCGGTGTGTCTGGGGATGCTCCGGGAGCGAAAGTTGCTTCCATTGCCCGAGGGATCAGCAGCGGAAGGCCTTAAATTGTAATAGTCCCGAAGTGCGGTGCGATTGCGTCTTGGATGGAGAGATGGAGAGACGGCTCGGGCTGTAGACGGCGTAGACGAGGCACTTAGGCCTCCGCCGACATTCGTGTTCAAAGTGTCAAGAGAGGGACGGCGTGATGACGCTGGTGTGGGTGAGTGTGCGCGAGAGGAAGCAATCGACGGACGGGGAGATGAGAGTGTCGACATTATGAAGGCAGGGCAGGATGAGATAGCGGGAGAAAGAGGCCAAAGTGATGGTGAAATGATATAACTGTCGCGGGGAGAAATATAAACGATAGGGGACGGAGTTAAGCAGTGGTCCGTGCTTTACCCAAACTAAATCCCATCAGAAACTGAGAATAGCTTCAACTTTCAGATATTGATCGGCTTGCAATATGTGCAATCAATATAAGCATGACACGATTTATATATACGCCTACATCTGCTGATTGACTTAGTACAGTCTGTACCCACGATGGCGAACATTCAAGCGCAGATATCTGCCGAACTACTCAACAGCAAATCCCTCCGCGTCTCCCATTCCTGGCTGAATAACTTCATCTCCTCATCGACAGCATCTCAGCGCGATGTCCCGCTCTCGGCCATAGTTCGGACCGCTCTATTTCGTATTCTTGCTTCAGATCTCAGAGAGTCGCTGTCAACAAGGACGCCATCGTCCCTACTCCCCGTTGACATATTCGATACCTCCGTTCAAGAAAGGCGTCTACAAGGTCCAATCCCTTTGCAAATCGTGGATATAGAAGACATCGGAACAAGTTTATGGAGTCAAGTCGAAGCGATTGAGCGTATTGAACGCGGCGAGGCTATTCGAGGGCGCGAGATCGTGCGGACAGTCAACGTGGACGAAGACAGTGAGGAGCGCGCAGCACGTGCTGGTAATAACAGGACCGCAAATTCAGCAGCAAGCGGAGCTGGAAGCACTAGCAACGGTCCTCATCGATTGATACTACAGGATGCGGCAGGGACTCGAGCTGTAGGTATCGAGCTGAAACGCGTCGAAGGCATTGGGCTGGGTAAGATACCTATTGGCGCGAAACTCCTGCTGCGTGATGCGACGGTCGCCCGGGGTATGATTTTACTGACGCCTGAATGCGTAACCCTGCTTGGAGGCAAGATTGAGACCTTGGACCAAGCCTGGAAAGAGGGAAGGAAGGCCAAGTTAACGGCTCGGATTACTGAGATGGAAAGGTCGCAGGCGTTGTGACCACAAACATAATATTCAACGGGCACTGAAGTGGCACGTCCGGAGACCTAGTGAATTTCTCTGCACGAGTTCCGTTTATGAAGAAGGCAGGCCTGGGTGGCCCCTATCATAATACTCGGTCGTGCCAGTGGCTTTGTCCATCAGAGTAGATTGTATGCTTTTCCTCCATGTGGATGTCTTTGTCCATTGGCGGTCTTGCTGGAACCGAGGGAGGGTGTCGCTAATTCTACAGGAATGGCGACAGTCTAAGCTTGCTATGACTCTACCTTGACCGCAAAAATGAGGCCTCCTTTACTCTAAAAGAATGGTCATAGCATTGACTGATCATGTACGCAAGGTACGTATTTCTAAACATCTAAAGTGTCTAATATCTACAGTACAAACATTCCCTCGGGCCGTCAAAGGGGTTAGACTAATTCTGACACAGCATACTTGAGCTCTTCCCAGCCAGATTGCTTCCATGGTGCGACCATAATCGCCTTGATGGCATCACCTGCCTTGCCAGTCTGTGTATACGCTTCACAGAGGTCGACAGCATCCAGATTGCTCCGTGGTGGAACGCTTCGCAATGCTCTGTCAACAGCCATCTCAGCGGGATACAGTTCCTGGGATGCAGCTGCTAGCTCCTGCCACCCTTGTGGCTGACCTGGCGACCTCATGACGGCAGCCGTAGCCTCCCCAAGGCGCCTGAGGTCCTCCGAAAGTTGGGAATCCTCAATCAAGCCCAAAGTAGAGATCCCCGTCAACAGCTTAGTCAACTTAATCCGGTCGTGGATATCAATATCATCTCTCGTGATCATGTTCTGAAGATCTGAAGCAACTGCTTCAATGACGTCCTTGTCCTCATCTAGTAGCGCGATAGTTCCCAAAAGTGACACCGCTCCAACATGGTCAGGGTGTTCTTCCACACAGTCAAACAGCTGCTGGCGCGCCACGGTCCGCTCCTCGTCACCACCCTTGGCCCACAGAACCTGTGCTAGGAGACATACCACCTCCGGTGCATTGTCTGCCTCTTGCAGGGCGTCACGGAACATGTCAATCGCGTTATCCATTGACTTCAAGTAATAATGCGCCAGTCCAGCAGTGAGATGAGCTGACAGACGTAGTTTTCTGTTGGCCTCCGGGTCGAATTTCTCTGCGTCTTCCTCGCCAGACAGGGTAAGGGCCATTTCCGCTTTCTCTACTGCTTGTTCAAATTCTTGGCGTGCAAGGAGAACACGAGCCATATCTGCATTCGACTGTGCATATCTAGAGAGCGAAGAGGTCGATTCAGACACCTCATATTCCGCTTCGACGCCAGAACAGACGACGTGCAAGCTAGTCTCCGCATCTGAGAGCTCGCCAATTCTCTCGGCCATGAGAGCGGTAAGATGCATAAACTGTAAGTTGGACGGGTCTTGAGAGGAAAGTTGCAGGAGCGCGAACAATGGCTGAATGAGCTGCGATATCTCGTTCGATGCTGAAGAGTCTGAGATGAGGCGGTCGAACAAGGTAAGCGTGTACTGGCGTCTCGGCAATGTGGATGAGGAGTTGGAGATGTCGAAGGCATGCTCAAAAAGACCTCTTGCTTCATGTGGGTCCCCAAATAGCAAAGCCAGGAACCCTTGGCCAACCCAAGCCAGAGAGTAGTCCGGATCGGTGGATTGCGCGCGCGTGAAAGCTTCATTGGCGAGTTGGATATCATTGTGAATGAGGTAAAGCGTTCCTAAGTTTGTCCAAACTTGTGCGCTTCTCTCGTTCAGATGCAAGCTTCTCACAAAAGCATGCTGGGCAACCTTCGGACTCATATTTGTAGTTGCCACACCCAGGGCGTTCCAAAACTCCGAATTGCCGGCTTCCAATTCAATCGCTCTCTTGAAGCAGCGCATTGCTGTCTTCAGGAACCGGCGTGTCGACTTCTTGCCCTTGTTACCAGAATGCACCTGGACACATCTCAGAGCTCTGTATTCTGCCCAACCCAGATTGTACCAGGCGACTGCTTGAGCATGTACATCTTGCGCCGAGACATGAATAGCTCTCTTGTATGCTAGAATCGAGGCATATATACACTTACTTGACGGACTGATGGTGTCACTATCCTCATCAAGAAGCGACAAACAACCTTGGCCAAGCTCGTCTATTTCGGCGAATATATCGAAAGCCGAGGGCTCAGCTTGAGTTGTAAGCAGCGCCTTCACTTCCTGAACTGGGAACTTGCTCGCCTTTCCTTTGACGTAAGTGAACATAGAGCAGGCGTCGCCAACGGCCTTCCACAGATTGAAAATGTCAACGCGATCCTTCGCAAGCGATGCTGCAACGACTATAGCCTTGCGCGCCAGTTCGACAGAGTCATTGTACAAGCCTGATTCGAGGCTCTTCCAAGAACTTTCTATGAGGGTTTGAAGCAATGCTATAGTCACCCCAAGCTCATTCGGTCGGAACTTCAAAACATCCTCATAGCGCGAGATGGCATCTTCAAATTCACCGAGCTCCCGTTTTACATTTGCGAGCATGTATCTTGCGAACCAAATATGCTCTCTGTCATCGGGTGAAAGAGCTGATTCTAATTGCTGAGCATGATCGAAAGCTTTCGCAGAGGCAATATATCTTCCAGAGTGGTGGTAGCTTTCTCCAAGGCCAACCCACGAATGGTAGTCGCCTGGTGATATTCTCAGAGCGGCTTGGAACGAGACAATGCTTTGGGCATACTGCTGCTTGTTCATTTGAACAGCACCCAAAGCGGCATATGGCCAGCTATAGCCCCTTCTCTTCGAGCCCGGTGAAGGCTTTGCTTTGCCCGAATCAACGACGCGCTGAGCCACGGCTTCAACCAAATCCCATTCCTTTTGGTCTGCGAAGGTCCTCGCGAGCCGTTCAGCAGCTTCGATTTCGGAGGCGGATAATTCGAACGCCTTGTGGAAGCACCTGCGTGCTCGTGTTTTGTCCTTTTTGTAGTCCGCATAGTAGATACCCAAGCTGGTGTATGCAGGGGCAAAGTTGATGTTGGATTGAATGGAACCAAGAAAACTGGCATAAGCACCATTGCGATCCTTGCGCGCAGTTGGTGATGGATCGAGCTCCCATTGACAATAACCTATACGGTAAAGGATCTCACTCTTAAAGTCGCGATTTGGCGACTCCATGTCTTGTAACTCAGCGAACACATCCTGAAGGCCGTGTAGACCAGTCTCAAGGTTCCCATTGAGGGCCTTACACCACGAAAGCTCACCCCTGATCTTGAGGTTAGACGGATCACGCTCTAGAGCACGCTCCAAGAAGTTGACGGCTTCAGCATAATCCTCATCGACCTTGAGAATCAATCCGATGCCCAGCAGACAGGCTGTGGATGTTGGTTTTCTCTGCAGAATCTCTTCGAAGATTTCTTTAGCTTCGGGGTGATACCGAGGGATCTGGTAGTAGATCAAAGAATTCGCCAGTAGGGTTTTTAGGCAATCAGTAGTGTTGACCAGGCTTACCCCTGTCAGCCTGCCGAGATCTGTGATATTTGAGAGACCCTTCCGCGCAACATCCACAACGCTATCGTATTCTTCCAGCGAGAGATACAGCTCACCCATGATGCGATTTGCGACGACTGAGGAGCGACATGCTTCGAGACCTTCCACCATCATTAACAAGCGATCCTGTACAGCCAGCTCGTGATTATCGCCGTTTCCGTTTTCGGTCTCTTCCTCAGTGGGTGTAGATTCCTTCGTATCCTTCGTCTCCTTCGGGAAGGGGGAGAGGTCACTGGCTAAGAAGCCTTTCAGAATCTTCGTAAGACCATCTTCTGGGAAAAACTCGATGAAGTCCTTCAGGAAATTGAGGTCCCACTCCGAGAAGCTCTGTATGTCTTGCCACTCAAGTACAATCTTCCAGGCCAGCTCAAAGGGGTGTTTAATGATGACCATGTCGCGAGCAGCTTGCAAGACCTCAGCACGCTTTTCGTCCTTCTCGGCTGACGGGAGTACAATCAGTATATCATAGGCTCGCTGGAGAAGCTTTTCTTCGTAGGTACGTCGAACTTGGTCATCATGGGTCCAATCCACTATCCCACGGTATAGCTGCTCAAGCTCCCCACGTTTGAAAGCCTCTCTTTTCACCTCCATGGTCACATGATCGATTCTCGCACCGAGTCGGGTCCTTCGCTCTCCAATTTCTCTGTTAATAAACTCCTTTTCTTCCGATTCCGTCATTTCTATGAGGCGGAGGTATGTATGGGAAGGATGTGGTATCCGTCCTTCGAGGTAGCCGTAAAGCGGACTCGTTGGGAGGTGTAGTTCGAGGGCCTTCTTATATTGCGAACGAGTGCCCTGTTTCTTTGCGAACTTGATATATTTGTCCACGACATCCTGGCAACGGTGCTTGTCGTCACTAGGATCAGATTAGCTCTTGTTCTTCGTATATACAGCTCCCAATACAAGACGTACACTTCGGCAAATATCTGACCAAGTCTCAGCGCTGCCTCATGATAAGCATCTAGCTTAAAGCCTCCTTGCTTCTCATAGAGATTGATCAATCCCTGCCATGCTGTCTTGTCGTCGGATTTTGCACGAGTTGCTGCGAGATATGCGCGCTCCGATTCTTCATTTTTGTTTAATTTATCTAGCGCTAGGCCAAGAAAGACGTTTCTAAACGTAGAATTGAGATTAGCTCAAGTCGAATCACAAAGCATGGTCGACACATACGCATGATAGTTTTGAGGCTCTTGCTTCACCACCGCTTTGGCTTTTTCTGCAGCATCTTCAAAATCCCTGGAGTCCAGCGCAATCCGCACTGCCTTCAGAGCCGATTTTGTTGACATGCTGGGCAGCTTACTTCGTTGCCCTGCCGTAATGGCAGCTTTGGATGTGGGTGCCTTTCAGCTGGCTGGCTGTTCAAACGAATAGTGTGATTTGTGGGGAAAGTCAAGCGGGCGATACGTCAGAGGCCGATCCCGTGGTCTCCGTTATCTCGTATTCGTATCACTACCTAGAGAGGTACTTAGTACTCTCCAGGCCGCAACTAAGTGACCTCTGTGATGC